TGGATGGCTCATTGACCAGTGAAGGAGGTGGAGTAGGCCTAATCATAATCTGCCTCGACGGCACTCCCATCAAATATGTTGTGAAGCTCCACTTCATCGCCTCTAATAATGAGGCGAAATATGAAGCCTTCCTCTTGGCCTAAGGTTGGCAATCAAAATGGAAGCTCAGTACCTCATAACTTATAGCGATTCCCAACTGATAGTCAACCAAGTGAAAGGTGAGTTTGANCCTTCCTCTTGGCCTAAGGTTGGCAATCAAAATGGAAGCTCAGTACCTCATAACTTATAGCGATTCCCAACTGATAGTCAACCAAGTGAAAGGTGAGTTTGAGGCAAAAACAACTAGAATGCAGGAGTACCTTGTTATGGTGCGAACCTTGCTAACTAGGTTATACCACTTCCAGATCTGTCACATCCCAAGGGAGGACAACATGGCCGCCAATGCACTAGCCAGGCTAGCCTCATCCTCGGAAGCCCCACCAAGACTAGCATTCATTGGTCACCAGTTCGTGCCAAGCAGGCTAGACGTGAAAGCCACAAACGTTAATTGTGTGTCTGTCGAATCAAACTAGATGACCCTGATAAAGGCATACCTCTAGGAGAGCGTATTACTAGATGACCCCCTGGAGGCTTGAAAACTCAGGATGAGAGCCTCCAAGTTTACCATCTTACAAGACACATTGTACAAGAAAGGCTACTCCTTACCATTACTGCGGTGCCTTTCACCCGAGGAAGCTAATTATGTTCTATGAGAGATCCATGAAGGGGTTTGTGGGAATCACTCTTAAGGACATTCTCTCGCCTNGCTACTCCTTACCATTACTGCGGTGCCTTTCACCCGAGGAAGCTAATTATGTTCTGTGAGAGATCCATGAAGGGGTTTGTGGGAATCACTCTTAAGGACATTCTCTCGCCTACAAGGCACTCAGACAGGGTTACTTCTGGCCCAGTATGGTGAAGGATGCCCAGGAGTTCGCCAGGAAGTATGACAAGTGTCAACTCTTCACCTCTATTGCTAAGCAGCCGCCAGATGAGCTGACAGTCATCACAAGTCCATGACCCTTTTTCCAAATGAGGCATCGACATCCTAGGTCTTCTACCTCTAAGCAGAGGACAGTGCAAATTTGTAGTGGTGGCCATCGACTATATCACTAAGTGGGTAGTGGTCGAACTCTTAGCAAAGATAACAGACGTGAAGGTTAAAGACTTTATCTGAAAAAATCTGGTCTGCCGCTTCGGGATACCCCACGCCATTGGCGGTGACAAAGCTGAGCAATTCGACAATAAGCTCCTGAACTCCTTCTACTTCGATCTCCAGATAAAGCAACCTCATTCCAGCCCAGCACACTCGCAGAAAAATGGGCAAGTAGAAGTCACGGTGAGAACAGTGTTACGCAACCTAAAGACAAGGCTCGAAAGAGCAAAGGGTCTNACAGACAAATGGGCAAGCAGAAGTCATGGTGAGAACAGTGTTACGCAACCTAAAGACAAGGCTCGAAAGAGCAAAGGGTCTTTAGGTTGACAAACTCTCAAGCGTATTATAGGCCTACCGAACCACGCCAAGAACTCCAATAGGAGAAACTCCCTTCTCTTTCACCTTTGGAACTGAAGCAGTAATACCTATGGAGATTGGGATACATTCTTTAAGGATCTAGCACCATGATCCCATCACCAACGAGGAAGGACTCCGCATCAACCTTGACTTGGTGGAGGAGGCACGGAAAATGGTTGTGGTCTACAATGCGAAGTACATGCACCGAATGGCAAAATATTATAATTTAAGGGTGAAGCCTCGTTCCTTCCAATCAGAAGACTTAGTCCTCAAAAAAGTAATCCTTGCCACATAAGATTCGCGAGAAGGAAAGCTGAGACCAAACTGAGAATGACCCTACCTCATAACCGAAGTGGTTAGACTAGACACTTACAAGATCCAAAATTCTGAGGGGAAGGTCTTACCCCACCCGTAGAACGCTGAGCACCTAAACAGGTACTATCAATGACACCTTAAGAGAATAGAAGTAGTAAAGTTAAAGTTGGGAAACTTGATTTTATTTTTTTGTATCTTTTTGGGGTTATTACCCGATATTGCTTGACATAAGTCGCTAATGAATAAAAATTTCTAAATTTACTCCAAAAGATCTTTACATTTTTGTATTTAATTTCAAAGGAGCATTAGTGGCAAAACAATTTTACAAAAATAAGGCTACGAACTTCTTTTCTAAAAAAAAGTCAAAAGTCCCTAGCACTCTAACTACTCTCATGGTCGTCGTCATCTTCCTCTTCTTCATCATCCTCGGCATTATCAGAGCCTCCATCACCATCATCAAGTGCCTCAGATGGAATAAAGCCTAAAAGGTCAATATTAGGGAAAGCGACATAAATCTTTTCCCTAAGCTCCTCATAACCATCAATAAAGGCAGCTATAATGCCATTCTCCAAATCACTCTCAGCCATGACAGCCCTCTCCTCAGCCCGAGAAGCTCTCTAGTGAGCTGCCTTCACCTCTGTCTTTGCTCTCAAGCAAGCAAACTCTCTGAGCATTCTATAAGCTCAGCCTCTCTGAGCGCGTCCCTCTCACAGATTGCCAAAAGTTCAGTCTCAAGCTTAGTCGCCCTCTTGTGGGCCTCTATAAGCTCAACCTCTCTGAGTATAGCCCTCTCATAGGTCGCTACAAGCTTAGCCTGGGAAGTCCTGTTAGTAGCTTCAAGCTCAGCAATCCTCCCCTGAGTAGCAAGAAACTCATTTTACACAACTTGATGACTATATTTTAGTTGGTTATAAAAGAGAGCCCTTGAAAAACAACACATAGATGCAGTTGAAGCCTGAAGAAAGACAAAAGGCAAAAGAATGTCAGACGCTTAAGGAAGGACTGGAGAAAGGGAGACAATAGACCCTTACCTGAGTCAGGCCTTCTAGAAAAGTGCTGACAATTTCCTCGGTGCCTAGAGCACTAATCTCATTAACATCATTGGGAGACACAAACCTCCCAAGTCGATCATTGATGACTCGCGCGTTAACCAACATGGAGCTAATCTGAGTAGGTGCCCCTGTAGAAGTTTCCACAGGAGGAGTTGACAAACATGGGGCAGAAGGTGTGGTCGACAGGGGAGTCTATGGAGTAGCACTCACAATTGAATGAGTCACCTACTGAGGAGGCACCACTAGAGGGGTCCCTTGAGGGGAGCCCACCTGAGATACAATTGAAGGGGTTAATTGAGGGGAACTCCCCTCAGGCGGCAGTACTAAGGAGGTCACTTGAGAGGCATCACTCATCCTCGCCACCTTAGGAGGATGAGTGCTCCTACTTGAGAGATAGGACCAACCACCGTTCTATTCACTACAAAGGAAATAAAGTATTATCTAGATGAAAAATACCAAGTAAAGGAGGAAAGGACAAAAAAATCAACATACCCCTTCCTCTTCAAAGAGGAACAACCGAACTTCTGAGAGGGAGCATTAGTCCTAGCACGGACTGCAGGGAAACTTCTGGCCCCACAATCTCTGGGCAAAAGAACTCCCAAGTCTTTGTCACGATGAACCCTCACGGCCTACAACTTCCACTCTTGGTCCTTAGAGAGCACAAGAGAATCTGCAAGGCGATGATGGGCACACGGTAAAAAAAAAGGTGAGAAAGAGAAAGTGTAGGGCATACCAAGTCTCTTAGAAGCACCCCATCTTTTTTGTACCAAAGCCCTATCAGCCTCTTAGGCCCATTCGCCGCCACAAAAACNCTGAGTAGGTGCCCCTGTAGAAGTTTCCACAGGAGGAGTTGACAAACATGGGGCAGAAGGTGTGGTCGACAAGGGAGTCTATGGAGTAGCACTCACAACTGAATGAGTCACCTACTGAGGAGGCACCACTAGAGGGGTCCCTTGAGGGGAGCCCACCTGAGATACAACTGAAGGGGTTACTTGAGGGGAACTCCCCTCAGGCGGCACTACTAAGGAGGTCACTTGAGAGGCATCAATCATCCTCGCCACCTTAGGAGGATGAGTGCTCCTACTTGAGAGATAGGACCCAACCACCGTTCTATTCACTACAAAGGAAATAAAGTATTATCTAGATGAAAAATACCAAGTAAAGGGGGAAAGGACAAAAGAATCAACATACCCCTTCCTCTTCAAAGAGGAACAATCGAACTTCAGAGAGGGAGCACTAGTCCTAGCACGGACTGCAGGGAAACTTCTGGCCCCACAATCTCTGGGCAAAAGAACTCCCAAGTCTTTGTCACGATGAACCCTCACGGCCTACAACTTCCACTCTTGGTCCTTAGAGAGCACAAGAGAATCTGCAAGGCGATGATGGGCACACGGTAAAAAAAAAGGTGAGAAAGAGAAAGTGTAGGGCATACCAAGTCTCTTAGAAGCACCCCATCTTTTTTGTACCAAAGCCCTATCAGCCTCTTAGGCCCATTCGCCGCCACAAAAACAAGAAGCGAGATTTTCAGCTATGACAGTTGGAGTATAATCCAGTAATCAACTTACCACCTCTCGTAGTAAAATAGTACCAACCTCTATTAGGAGCAGGATTCTCACTCAAATTATAAACTCCATAAAACTCGACAGGAAAGGCATCCTCATGGTGCACTTTCATCCACAATACTAAAAAGCCCAACAAAATTCTCCAACCATTGGGCACCAATCGCCCTGGTGCCAGTGAAAAATAATGCAGAAAACGACAAACAGAGGAAGACATTGAGAATTTCATAAGATGAGTCATCACAAGCAGGCTCACCCATCTCAACTCAACGGCACAGAACCGTTGGAGGAATGTTATAAGCAGAAACAATCCTCAGAATATCACCATCAGTATTGAACGTACTAGAAATAGTACTCACCTTGGATCCATCGTCGTCGAGAGCTACTTTTCCTTGATGCTTTTTGTTGCAAGGGCGAGAAGGGTTGCCCCAGCCACTACCAGGAAGGCTTTCAGGAATCTGACTTTGAGAAGTACCACTTGAAGTAGTCAGATCATCTACCACATAGCCAGAATTTTTACCGCTAAAAGTGCGCGTCTTGTCTACCTTGCTGAACACCTAGGTCGCCCTGACCATAGCGCCAAGCGCTTGGCTCCCCCTGGACTCGGCGCCCAGCTCCTAGGATACCTGGCCAGCGGTCCCACGCGCCTAGGTCCTCCCTCTCCTCACCTACACGGGCGACCAGCGTAGCGTCCTCAGCAGGCTCGCCTAACTATCTGCCCAGCTTGCCCGCCTCCCTGGTCTCCTCCCCCATCTCACCCAAAGGCGCCTCACCCACCAAGATTACCTCCTCAGCACCCTCTTGAACCAACCCAGCATTGATGCCAACTCGCCTGGCCGCCTAGGCTGCTCGCATATCTCCACGCCAGGCCGCTTGATCCACTTGTCCATGGTCTGCTAACCCCCCATCCGGCTGTCCTTGGGTAGCCATGTTGGGCAGCACCTTTACCTCTTTCCTCACATCGTATGCACCCAACCTCAGCGCCTCCACTGCGCTAACAGCGGGCAGTCTCAGCACCCTTTTTTGTACGAACAATTGGCTCGCCCAGCAGCTGAGCTGCCTCCTTAATACCCATCTGGACTGCCTCCTTCCTGACCTCGCCCAATGCCCATGCTATTCGCCCCTCCATCTCGCGTGTCCCAGGGCTCTTCTATTTATAGCCTAGGGTTTTTTTTAAATCCCATTAAGGAAAGGAAAAAAATAAAAAGTCTCAATTTATGACCAAGGGCTCTTGAAGAATCCAAAAGAGGAAGTAAAAGAAGGAGGTTTGTATAGCCTATGATGTTCCACAAGGAAATGAAGTCTACAGGAAGGGAGGGAGTCGCCAAAGAAAAGGAGTTTCTAAGAAATCCAAGTTCAAGAAGGCTTGATCGCTATTCTGACCGTAACTCTAAACGAGGCTTATTATATATCAAATCAAAGCTCTCGACGAGCTCTACAAGAATCACCACCTTTGGCTATGACATACGATGTAAAAAGGCCAAAAAAAGGCCCAAAAACAGATATTTTGGCCTCTTGAAATTTTTTCAGTTATGCACTTAGCCAAAATTTAGATTTAACTGAATGCCCTCCTCTTCAAGTTCCATTGGACATAGGACATTGGGGGACAAATGATGGGTCAAGCCCAAGGGCCTAACTCATGTTATAAGCCCAGTCTGAATTAATAGCCCAACTCCAAGAAATCTAGCATGTCCAACCTAAAGTGGTCCACGCTCGGTCAAGCTCATTAGGTTCAAGGAGTTACATTACCAAGGGAGCATGCAGTGTCATCCAAGAGCCTCATTCTCGCCAGCTTGGAAAGAGTCAACCCTTACCTTATCCTTTAACCGAATCTCATAGAGAGCACCGTAACTGCCTTGTCCATTAAAAAGAGATCGCCAGATCCACTAGATTAGCTATTTAGTTAATATTAAGTTGCCTCAATCTGTTAGAAGGTGACTATAAATTGTAAGTCCCGCCAACACTTAGGGGGCATCACATTCAATTGAGCACATTCTCTACTCTCTCTCTCATAGCTTGTAACTCCCTACTCTCCCTATACACTCGAAGTAAAAAAATACCCCGATAACCTTAGCCATTCAAAGTGGACGTAGGTCACGTTGATCGAACCACTACAAATCCTTGCCTTATTTTTGTCTTCATCTCTCTACTTAAGTTACTGCATTTATTATTGTTCATTTGACTAGTAGTGTACAAACCCAATTTGTGCATTATCATGCCCTATGCAGAAGGGTTTAATCTTGGGACATTTAATGAAACTTGGTTGAGAATCCTCAAACAAATTGGTTTACCTATTCTTGTTGAAAAATTAACTCTCATATTACAACAGAAGAGTGATTATGAAAAGAAAGATATGATTCTATTTTACATCAGTAATGCTACTTAAATTTAATTTATTAATATAATCTAAAAACTTTGTTGGATAGATGACAAATTTCATTTAGTATTGAAACTAATTGTTACTCTAACGATCATGCAGTTGGTGTAAAATGAAGTGGACCCAAAATTGAAGCGTTTAATGTTATGAAGAAAATTGTACATTTTGCCGCCTCAAGTTTTAGGCAAATTTCATTTTGGTTTATTGGTTTCAATTTCGGCTTATAAAAGCCTAACTTGCCTTATTTGTACCAATTTTGTCCAACTATTACTATTGTTAATTTTCTATGATGAAAATAGTCATGTGCTATGCGTGTTAGTGGTTCAAAAAGATGGCCTGCCTATTTGGTTTTAATGGAAGAGTTGATGAGCTCTAAGTGATGTATATTTGGTTTACCTAGCTGAAGAGCAAGATCAATCTACCGAAAGAGTTATGCTTGAGGTATTATTTTTGCACATCTTGAGGCAAGAAGATGACCTGCCTATTTATACACAAGGATCCCCCCGTAATCCTAACAAACTTACCAGAAAATATTTTGGGGGAATCATTATCCATTAGAAACTCTGTCCCTTAGGTGTGATGTGTCCTTCTAGAAGAAATGAAGTGGTATCTTGGAAGAAGTGACTTTTTGCCAAAGTTAGGGTATGTTGATGAAAGTCCTTTTTCTACCCATTCTAGTTGTTCCCAAGCTAGTGCACTTATGGTTGACTTGGACCTTTGCTAGGTCAGATCAGAATATGGATGACCTGACCTAACATAAGTTTGAGCTGAGTAGTTTCTTTTGGTATCATCAGCTGCCCTCCAACCCCGAGCAAGCACTAATTTGAGATGGCCGTGATTGGGGCTGAGCTACTTAGGCAATACTTATCTAAACGTGTCCTTGGGATTGAATGTAACCAAAAAGACATTCATGAACATTGTCTTCTTTCTGCCCATCTATATAGGCGTGGCTCGTGTTTGACGCTTTGTTCGTTGGGATGTGCCAATTGTGCAATAACACGGGCCATGTGCATTGATGCATTAAATGCGCTTTTGGCGCATTAATTGTGCATTTTAATGCGTTTCTCATGTTTTTATCATATTTATGGGTGTCTTTACCATTGCTATAGTAGCTATTTCATCACTTTTTCGGTATCATAACAATAGTAAAAACGCACACAACCGTGATAAAAAGTATCCACAAATTTAATAAATGAAGGTATGGTACCAATTTTTTTTTTTTGTTTTTGTTTGATACCATAGATGACTCCTTTTTTATTTATTTTTGGTTATTAAACATACTTTGATAAAATTTTAGCATGTCAAAAAATTATGAATGGTATGTTTGACTGAAAAAAATAATGAGATTTTAATAATAGAATTTTAATTTATAGATTATACAAGTTAACTGGAGCACATACACAATAATTAATAGGTTGAGATATCGTGACACAACAGGAACCAATTCGATTACTTCCCCTAATGTCAAATTGAGTAATAAGTACTGAAGAGAAGCCTTACTCAGAAATTAGTAACATCAACCCTAACGGGTAGGCAAAGTTGAGACAGAATAATTCACTTTGTGCTCACTGCATAGCTGCGTCAGTTTGTATGTCACTCGGGAGCTACTTATACTAGGTCGACCATAGGACATGTTTTTATACCTAACCGATGTGGGAATACCTTTCGTATGGTCCCAGACAATATTTTAAGCTCACTTCCAAATTTCTCAACCAAAGTGAGACCACTTCGGTTGGGATGCCCAAGGGTATTGGCCTTTGTGCCCTTTTAATTGTGCACTTTGATGACTCTTCTAGCAACTTTTGTGATCAATTCAGATAGTTAATTTTAAGACTCAAATCTCACTTTGCAGTTGAAATTGTTTATGACGTTTTTCTTTTTGGCAGGTGAATCAGATAGAATGATTCCCCTTCTAAACATCATCAATTGTGAGTTTTATTGACTTTCAATTATATTGCACACCAAGGCCATAACAGGATTTTGTTTTAGGTGGACAAAACATATGACTAAATACTATTCATGTAAGTATTCGACAAAATCGGGTCTTCCCTCAAAAAATAAAAATATTTCTCCAAAAACTCAAACCCCTCTGTTCACTTTCCTGCCCAATGAAGATGAAAAATCCTCCTTCTTCCATATAATTTCCATGATATTCTTCCTCATAATTTCAGATCCATGACTCTCTCTCTCTCTCATACATAATTTTAGTGTTATCACTTTTTTTTTCTTGTTTTTAGTGTTATCATTTATCACTCAGTGTAAAATCCTAAGACCCAATAACTTTATTTGGTTGATTGAGTATCCGACATTAGCACCCATGATTTCTCTCTCTTCCAACAAGTAGTAAGTTTAAGCATTTATTAGTCTAATTCTAAGCGAATTGAACAAATTCATATATTTTTTTCATTTCAGAGCAAAGTAAATTCAAAACAATTAAACAAATTGAACAAATGAATAGTTCAGTTCAAAAATTCACCTAGAACAATTACCTCCCAGCCTCTTTTCTATCTAACAGGTCGCAATGTTTACTGTGGAATTCAATTCCACATTCAAGTAGTTCATTATACTCGTATTATAACCTCTAATGACCAGTTCCCAAAATGTCATGTCACAATTCAATGTTTGTTGTACATTTAACACCTTAACATAACTACTAATCTATGTAATATATAAAACTCTAATTTGTACTCTTAAACACCTTAACAAGAGATTGTTTAGTTTCAAATGGAACAGTCAAATCTGGAAAAAATCAGATGCCCAATCAAACTGTTGTGTAGGGGATCCAAACCCCTTTTGTATACTTTCTAAGTTCAATCTTTTATTTACTTTTTAGAGTTTATTCACTTGGAACAAACCCTCCAAAAATACGCGTATGCCACTATATGCAACGAGCACACGGTATTCTTTAGTAAAAGGCGAAAGAATAGTTCGCTCTGTGCTCATTGCATGGCTGCGTGGTTTGAAAAGTTCACTAGAGTCTGCCATATACTTGCTCCAAGATGATTACCATTTTCATTCCCAGTCAATGTGGGAATAACTTTGTTGTGGTCCTGGACAATATTTTATGCCTCTCCAATTGAACAACCAAAGTTGAGACCACTTTTTTTTTCTTTTGTGGGACTGGCAAGGGTTTTGCTTTTGTCTGCCCTCTTAATATTCTCTTCTATGACTCTTCTTGCATTATTTTTGTTGGGGGGGGGGCAAGTGTCTACTGGCATCACTCAGGTAAGTAATTTCAAGTTTAATATCTTTGTAGTGTAGTCTGATAGCTGGAAAAATATTTATGTGTTCTAGTTACTATATATTTTGAAATTCCTATAAATATTGGTGATAGTTAGGGTGATGGTAGTGGCAACAACAATAACAATAGTGGTGTGGTGGTAACAATAGTGATAGTAGTGATAATGGCACTCATAGCAATGGTGATAGTGGTAATAATATTGGTGGTTGTGAAAATATCACCGGTGCAATGATGGGGATGGTGATAGTTTACAGGGATGGATTTAAGAGGGG